ACACACATGAAAACACACACACAACCACCAAAGGGTGGTTACAAAGCTTTAATAAATAAGACAATGTTACAAGGAAAGCACAAGCAGTTCTCCTTCTGCTCGCCTTCAGCTGCTATTCCCATTCTACGAGGGGAAATCCTCACCCGGAAAACCTTGTTCACACTGGCACAGGTCCCAGGGCGTGAGCCCCTGTGGAGGCTGGGTCTCTCCCTTTCCATTTCCCTTGTTGACTTCCAGCACGACTGTTGTTAGCTCACAGATGGACAGGCAGTGCTCCATGACTTGCCAGCTGCCAGGCTGATTCCGCTTTGGTTCTCTAGGAGAACAAGCCTGATATCAAGGATGCAAAGGGGGCCAGGGCGCCTCTGCTCAAGGCGGGAATCTCGGGTGTCTACACATAGTAAGACAAGGGCTTATGTTTAGGCTGCAGCTTCGAGATAACCTGCCACCTCCAGAAAGCCTCCCAGGAAGACAGAAGTTGGTGAGGTGACCTGGGAGTTAGGAAAGAGGAAGCAACAGGGGAGGAGAGGGAATCCTAGGAAGAAAGATGGAGCTTCGCAAAGGCACAGAGGTGTGAATGAGCAGGACAGGATTGCAGTTCATGGCCACTACTCCCCTGAACACAGCTTCCCTGTTAATTAGTCGCATTTTTGCTTTGATCATTTCTTCCCCACAACTGCCCCAACCCCATCAACTGCCAAGTTCTGTGCAGATTCTACCATCTTGTACATCTCTAGTATCCATTTCCTCTTCTCTACCCCTATGGCCATTGTCTGGGACACATAGCTCTTCTGGTCTATACTAATTAGAACAGTTTTCTAACCAATCTCCCCGCCTCTAGTTTCTCCCACCTTCCAATCCATTCACGTCATGGTTGCCAAAATAATCTTTCTGATTGTGTTCCTTTTCTGCTTAAGTCCTTCAAGGACACCCCATCACCTCTGGGACCAATTCTGTAGCTTAGGACTCAGAGCCTCCATAATCTGATCCCATTGTCTTCCTTTCCTGCCTAATTTCCCAACAAAACCTACACAAACCCTGAGTTATTGCCACACTAACTATCAGTTCCCCCAAATGAGGCATACAGTTTAACGCTGTCTGTTGCTCTTCCTTTTACCTGGAATTCCCTCCACCCCTATCTTTCTGGCTAACTCCTACTCCTTCTTCAGAACCCAGCTAAGGAAGCACCTCTTCTAGAAAGGTTTTTCTGACCCCTCCTCTGTGCTCTCAGAGCCTGAGAGCACATATATCTCTAGCATCGACGTTCTTAGGGCTAGAATTCACGAACTTTGTGCATTTGTATGGGGGAAGAAATGTTCACTAACTTGTACCTAAAATTAATTTAACATTTCCTTCAATTACAAATGTAGGCTCAAATCACAGTGATATCAATAGTTCCTGTAATTTATTACTAATAGAAATCATAGTTATTTTCATATCACTTTACAGTTGTTACAGATTATCTAAAAATTTTATCTATGATTATCAATATTTTAAAAATAAAATGGTAGACCTATGTAGATCTGGTTACTCAGTGTACAAATATGAAACCACATACATTATTACCAATTTTTTTTTCTGTATTTTGTTAACTTTTGAAAAATAATTGCTTTCTTTGCCATTGTATGTTCTTAATTTTATGTATTTTTAAATGTTATTCTGAGAAGAGGCCCAAGGGCACCACCAAACTGTCCAAGGGCTTCCCAGCATGAATGATGACACCTTCTCTGGCAGAATCCTCTTAAATCCCCACTGCAACTGTTGGTTTATCTTGTCCTCCTCTGTCAATAGAGTGTGTGCATCTTGAAAGAAGGGGGCCCTCTTTTTACATGAAAGACTTAATGCAGTGCATGGCACCTGGCATATTCCTAGAAATATTTTTTGAAATAAATACATGCAGACAAAAAGGAAGAAAAGAAAGGAAGGAGGAAGGGAAATATAGAGAAAATTTGATCTTCATAGGCCATCTGCTCTTCCCTCTGCCTTGGACACTCTACTCCCAGTTGTGACTAGCTGTCCTGCCTCTTCTATGCCTCCGTAACTCTACTCTACTCTGTGACTCTATTCTACTCTACTCTACTCTGTGACTCGACTCTATTCTCACTCTACTCTGTGACTAGCTATCCTGCCTCCTCTATGCCTCTGCTCTAATGTGATCTTCTCAGGGGGACCATCCACAGCACTGTATTTAAAATTACAGTTCCACTCCATGGGCATGCTCTGTCCCCCTTCCCTGCTCTGTCTTCTTAACACTTAGCACCATCAGACACACCATGTGTTTCTGACTTTTTACTTACTAACTCCTTGCCTCTCCTCACTAATGTAAGCTTCATGAGGGCAGGGACCTTTATCACATTCATTCATCTCTGTATCCCTAGTACCTGAAATAGCACTCAACAGATAATAAGCATTAAGTAACTTGAACGAGTCAATGGAAGCCAGCAAGTGGTGAAGGCCCATCAGTTAGCATGAGCCCCATGCTGTTGGGAGAGGTTGAGGGCTGCCAGGGTCGGTGGCAGAGCCAACTGGCTATGGGTGAATGGTGGGAAGAAGTTGTGTTGTTTGGATTGGGCATGGATGGAAGGACCTGACACCGTGGCTGGGAAGTTGGACCCTGTGGTATGCCTGTTTTCAGTGGAGAAATGACAGAGTCCCAGGAAGGCCGATCTGACCCTGGGAGAAGGACTGGAGTGCAGTATGGAGGCTCACAGGGAAACATCGCATCTTAAGGCCATTGCTGTTGGATCAACAGCCTGAATTTGGGAAACTCCTGCCACCCTGTTTTCCTCAGTGTCTGGGAAAGCCCAGACCTATTCCCTTGTGAGGCCTGACAGCTCTGAGAGCTCGGAAAGATTCAGGAACTACAATGAGTATGCCCCCTGGATTCCTCCCAGCTCTGTGTGCAAACCTCTGCCACAGAACTTACTCAGTGAGGTGGTGGTGTTCCTTCTTCCACCAGGCAGCGAGCTCTCTGATGACAGCACTACCTCACAGTCTTCACTCGTTGGTAGTACAAGGCCAGGCTTGACACATAGTACGTTTTCAGAGACCATTTATTGATGGGAAAATTGTGATTAGAAAATCACAGATGTGGCCAGGCGTGGTGGCTCATGCCTGTAATCCCAGCACTTTGGGAGGCCAAGGTGGGCAGATCACGAGGTCAGGAGATCGAGACTATCCTGGCTAATACAGTGAAACCCCGTCTCTACTAAAAATACAAAAAATTAGCCAGGCGTGGTGGCAGGTACCTGTGGTCCCAGCTACTCGGGAGGCTGAGGCAGGAGAATGGCGTGAACCCGGGAGGCGGAGCTTGCAGTGAGCTGAGATTGCGCCACTGCACTCCAGTCTGGACAACAGAGTGAGACTCCATCTCAAAAAAAAAAAAAGAAAAGAAAAAAGAACAGAAAATCACAGATGTGATAGTGATCATTCGTTTGAATCATGGGGAGAGTAATGAACTTTGAGCTCCTACTGTAACCAGGTACTGTGCTGGCTACCTGAGCCACAGAGCTGAATCAAATGGGGCCCCTCATCTCCAGTAGCTTGTGGCAGAGGATGAGCTCAACACACAAATGTGTAATAACACAATGTGCCAAGGATTGAGGGACCACACTTAGGAAACCCGCCCCCCACCCAGTCCTCTGGTACTTAGCAACCTAAGTTACATTATTATTTAATTACTTGTACTCCGTCTTCCCATAAGAATATTAGCAACGAGAAAAGCTTTGTCTTGTTCACTGCTCTCCTCCTAGCACATAGTAGATGCTCACTTAGGAAGTCTCAGTGGGGCACTTGTGTAGGTTTGATAAGTATCTGTGAATACGTGCATGGCCTGAGGAAGCACAGAGAGTTGCGGGAGCCTAGCTCAGTCCAGGGATGGGAGCCACAGAAAACTTCCAGCAAGAAGAGGCCTTGGCCAGGAACATGGCGTTCCAATACTCACACCCTTCAGCATTCCCCATTTAATGACTTCTTCAAAACTCAGTGAGGTCACACCCATTTTATGAATGAAGAAACAAATCTCAGAGACAGGAAGAAGCTTGGTAAAGGCCACTCAGCTGACAGAGCAGAGCCCACATCTCCCACCGAAAGTCTATGCCTTCTCCACACTGTTCCGCCTCCTGCCAACACATAACAAGGACTCCTTGTGGCAAAGGCTGACTTGCTGTCCATGCAGCTTCTGAGGAGGTGAGAGACCATTCCCACGGAATGGAGGGGGCTGAGTCCAGAGACAGATCATCATCTCCAACATTAGCAGCTAAAGGAATGCACTTTCCCAGAAACTCTACACAAGTTCACTCATTCTTCATAATCACCTGGTACTGGAGGTTCAATTATCGTTCCCAATTTACAAATGAGCAAACTGAGGTACTATTAGGTAACTTTCTTAGATCACACTGGTGGTAAGGAAAATGTCTGGGGTTCAAACCCACACAGTTGATCTCAGAGGCTACACTTTTAACCATTTTGTCTCCTGCCTCAATAGAACATGCCTACCTTGTCCAACTCTGGGAGGCTGCTAGAAACTTCCCAGTTAAGCAGTCTTCATGTTTTAGACATGACACTGCGTACTCTGAGGAAAAGCTACAAAGAATAACTTTCTAAACTTCCAGCCTTCAAGAAGTTGCTGACTCAGAAAAGAAGACATAAGAAATCAATGAAACTAAAATGAAAGGTACAATGTAAGTACACCGGGGATAGGACATTTGAGCTGGGCCTTGTAAATTAAAGACAGAATGGTGCTCTAGGAAGAGGTTGCGGCATATACTACCTAATCCAGGCATGGCAATAGACTCCAGGTTAGGGAAACACCAAATCAATTTGTGTGTCTGGGGAACAGAGGGTATAGGGTGAAGACAGGGGCAAGTCAAAGGAGAATTGGGCCCCAGATCCTGGAGAGTTTGAATTAATACAGTAAATACAGAATTTGCTCACTGTTTAGTCAATGCTGACCTATCAGAGGTGGGGAAAAAAGAAAGTAATATAACCTGACCTGCAGTTTAGGAAGATCATGTGGTATCTGGGAAGCACTGGAGAGGGAAAAGGCTGAAGAAAGGAAGACTGGTGAGTCATTTAGCTCTTTCTGCAAAATCAGCCACCCCATAACCTAGAGGCCTAAAATAACCACTATCTTATTATTGTTCACAAGTCTGGGAGTCAGTGAGCAGTTCTAAGTCAGCTACCTGCTCACGTGTTTGGTGGGTGCTGGATGGGGCAATGGAGATGACTGGGGCATGTATCTCTTATTACCTTGGGCTTCCTCTCATGGTAGATGGTTGCCAGGTTACCAAGAAAAGCAAGAAACAGCAAGCCCTGATGCACACAAGCTTTTTTCAAGCCTTGGCTTATGTCGTCTTTCTTAGTGTCTCATTGGCCAAGCACAGATTCAAAGGGTGGTGCAATAGACAGCATTTCTTGACGGCAAGAACAGCAAAGTCATATAGCAAAGGGGTGTGCATAGGGATGGGATGAATTTGGGGTCATTTTTGTTAGGAGGCCATTTCTGTAATGGACCAAGCAAGAATTAATAGTTGCTTAACCTAGGAGATGGTAGAAGAAACAGAGAGATGATTAGAATATATTTGAGACATATTCAGGAGATGATTATGAGCGAGAGGAAAGAATTCAGGATACCTCCTGGGTTTTTGGAGAGAGTAACTAGGCAGATGGTTCCTCATATCAATGAAGGGAACCAAAAGGAGAAGCAGGTTTAGCAGTTGTAAGCACGTTCCAGCTTATGTGATTCTGCTGAGGTCCATGAATGTGCTACCTTCCTTTCTTAGAGAAATGTTCTTTTTCCAAACCTCTCTCCACTCTGACCATGTGTCCACATGGAAAGTGAGATGACTTGCATGACCCTGCCTTCCTAACAGTAGTAATTGGCCAGGTGTAGACATCTGATTTGAATTGGGAGTGCCCAGCCCCACATCCACTGCCAGCCAAGTCCGCCATGTACAGTTGTGCAGGTTATACCCAGTACAAGCTTGCCTGGCAGGGATAATAAGTGGGGACTGGAATCCAGCCTGTGCTCTGCAGCGCAAGCTTGTACCTGTGGAGTTGCAGACGCTCAGAAGATAGTGCCCTCTTCTAACTCCCACAGAGGTGCTCTTTGCTGCCAGCCCCAGTGGCTAGTCCAGGGGCAGGCCCACATGCCACACTAGGTAAATTGGACTCCCCTAGGAATTATGACATTGGAGCACATGGGAAAGAGGTTTTTTCTACTCTGACCCTAAAACTGTATAGATGGGAGTGTGTGGCATCCACATCTCTGTGATATTGAGGAAACTGCTGAGACAGAATGAGGCCAGTACATCAATGAAGTCAGCAAAGGGAGGTGTAAGAGAAAGAGAGCTGTCAGAATCAGAGCACCCCGTTCCAGGCAACTCTGCCTTTCCTGGGGCTTGGTAGTTTGGTTTCTCCATCAGTTCTTTGATTGTTCCTATATTCTTCTGATTTAAAATCTCCTTTTTGGCTTACGCAAGTTCAAGTTGGGTTTTTGCTCCTTGTAACCAATACAATCTTGCACAATAAAGTAAACAAGTTCATGTGTTCAGATTTGGAGACAGGTCACAGGGTGAATTGAAAGAACGTGATGACCAGTTTGATGAGAGTCACAGGAGAGAAGGGGTGTCCTGGGGAAGTACTGGGCTTTTGGCTTGAGAGACTATAGAGAGATGAGGATCTCAGCAGAAGTAGGCAATCCAAAAAGTAAACTATGCCAGGGTGGAGGGAGGGAAAATGTACTCTTCCGTTTATTCATTGAACAATTGTTCCCCAAGCCTTGTCTAGGCACTAGGGGCTCAGCAGTGGATACGGTGAACTTAGATTCAGATAGTATCTGTAGGACATCGCTGGCTATTTAGTCAACAGTAAGCACCCACTCTAGGCCAAGCATTGTATCTAGAACTGAGCATAAATCCAGGCAGTGATGTCCAGCAGGCAGCTGGAAAGAGGGTGGAGCTGGCATTTCTGTTGTAAGCATCATCCCCATGGGGATAATTTTGGAAGTTGTGGGAGAGAGCACTTGGAGAAGAAAAGTCTAGTTCCACAAGCCTTGTCCATCATGCCTCAGCTTCATTCGTGGGCTGGGAACATGGTGTTTCTTTGGCTTGTATGGCTGAGAGGCAGATGCAGAAAGAGTGTGAGTTGGAAGAGCCCAATCTGGGGCCAGCCTGGGGTCACACAACACCCCTACCAGGTAACCGTGTGTATGACTCTGACTGAGTTGGCTAATCTCTCAGAGCCTCAGTTTCCTCAGTCTCAGAAGAAAAACAGGAATGCTTATTCTCATATTAAGAAAGAATGTTTGTAAAAGTGTATTCATTCAACCACAAACAGGTATTGAACACCAATATATACCATGTTACAGGGTAAAAGCCTCAAATGGGAGGATCAGAGCCATCAGCTGGGAGGGATACATGAATCTCTGTGACTGCCATACCTGGCTTCTGCTGCACCTAAGGCTGCCAATCTCCCCCTGTCCACCACCAATCATCACCAATCTGCCCCTTCCCCAGCCCATCTGAAAGGCAATATTTTTGTGATTAGTAAAGAAAGAAAAAAAACGCATGTTGTACTGTCCTGTGGAGAGCCGGTCTCCAGAGCGGCCTAAAAAGGGGCCACGTGAACCATGCTGTTCTTGGCAGCCACTGTGCTGTTCCTCACAGCCAGAGGCTTAGAGCTTTATTTGTGGTTTGAGTTACAAGCAGGGGTGAAAACCCCAGAAAAGTGGGGGGAAGGGAGAAAACATTTTAAAAGTTGAGAAAATTGCCCTGTGTTCTCAAGTGCAGGCAATTTGTCCAAATGCCTGAGCTCTGTAGAATCCTAGTGGTCTGACTGCGGTTTTATACTCTGGGGCTCTGGGCCCAGTGTCAAGGGTGGGGGACATTTTTTCATACATTAAGAAAATCACAAAATCACTTTTTACAAGATATTAATGAATACCTTTACTGCTTCAATGGTGACATTGTGGGCGGTTTTGAAAAAAATCCAGGTGAAGGTTTGGGGGTGATTTTGTTTTGAAGGCTGCTACATAAGGTTTTTCACAGTCATTAAACAGGAAATTTGGATGTTGCCCCCAGGATCCCATGCAGAGGAGGCTAAACATTTTAGAGATAGAAGAGCCCTTTAACATCTTTAAATCCAACCCTCTCCTTACACCAATGATAAAAACAAGGCCCAGAGGAAGTAAGAAATATGTCCAAGGAAACACAGCAAGTCTGTAGTAGAAGCAAGTCCAGATTCCAGGACCCGAAGGTCTTTGCTGCAGCCTTTGTGGCAGCCTGGAGGTGACATTGGACCTCAGAAACCATGGCTGGCCTCCCCCTCATGTTGACATTTCTGCGGCAGTGACTTTGAAAGCTGCCTTTTATGGCTCTGGCTTTGGAAGGGCAAACACTGTTATCAGTAAAACAACACAGGTGCCTTCTAGAGTTGGAGCCAGGTGGAGCCAAGCAGGAAGGGAGACCCTTTCGCACAGGCAGACATGACCCAATCACCTGTCTGGTTCAGAAGGGTGCAAAGACCCTCCTTGGGGAGTGGAACAAGAGGCTTCTGTGGTGGTGAAGGGCATGGCTTGGGGGCCAGACAGGATGGCTTCATGTCCCAGCGACCTGGCTGGCTAACTGCAACCTCAACAAGCTGCCTGACCAAGCGTCAGTTTCCTCAGCTATAAAACAGGGAGGCTGGTGGCTCAGTCCCATGACTGAGCATATTTCAGGTGTTCGATAGCCACATGTGGCTAGTGGCTACTGTATTATACAGCACAGATACAACATTATCACAGAAAATCCTATCATGCAATGCTGGTAGGGACTCTGGGCTCTTGACATTAGTTCTGGACCTCACCTACTGTAGCTACTGAAAACAGAAGACTGGTCCAGGTGAGGTCTCCAGCTCTAAGGGCTCAGATTCATGGCAGAGATCCACGGTTCCTGGCTCCTCGCTCTAGCCCTTAGTCCTCTCTATTACTGTAAAGATTTGGCTTCAAGGTTGGAGCCTGGCTGGCTGCCTTTCTTATGCTTCCCTAAGCAGAACCCCAGGATGAGAGGATGTGTGGGTGAGGGGAAGAGTCTGGTCAGTGCCTCCTGTAAAGGTAGGTTTCCAGAGTCCAAAAGCCTTAGGTTCAATTCCTGACTCACTCATTCGGGTGTTAATGGTTCCAGGTAAGTCACTGAACCTCTCGGAGCCTCAGTTCTCATATCTGTGCTTGCCCTGGTAAGGGGTAAAGAGGCAATGGAGGGAGAAACACATTGGAATCTGTAAAGTACACTGTTCAGAATGAGAAACTTCTACAAGTAGGAAATTGACTCTCCTTGCTCTGCCCCTTTCTTCACTAAAAGAGTATTTAGATAGAGGCAGATAGCTGCCTTAGAATATATGCAACAAGATGTTATATTTAGAAACATTTTCCAGACATCTGGAGATGAGAAGAAGCTGGTATCCCAGAGACACACTGGAAGAGTCCCCTGAAAGAGAACGGGAAAAGGAAAACATTCTCTGAACACCTATTATACTCTAGATACTGTGACAGTCCCTTCCATATATAAAGAGTGGCAATGATGATGATGCTGGCTAACAAGAAAGTTGAGTGCCCACTGTGTGACAGGTACCCTTTTGAATGCTTTACATATATTATCCCCATTTTACAGATGAAGAAGCTGAGGCCCTGCAAAGTAAAAATAAGTTTCCAAGGTCACCCTAAGCTAGGGTTTAAATCTCAGCCGCCAGAGTCGCAGGGCCATGTGCATAGCTGTCTCTCCACACTGCGTTCGTAGTCTGCACATTGTTAGAGTCTCATGTAACACCACCTGCCACTTTCAGATAAGGAACTGAGCCTCAGGAAGATTACGTTACTTGCTTAGGGTCACATAGAGGGGAGAGAGAAGGTTCAGTGAGTGTTTTGCTTTTTTCTTCTTTCTTCAAAATATTTCCTTCTTTGGCTATCTTTTTGACAGAACAAAGGCATTGTTGATTCAGTTTGCATCTGAATCTTGCTTCCTATTATTTCCTCACTTGAGTTCTGGTTTCCCCTTAGGATCAGACAGAAGACGTCTACTGCCTTGTTCATAGGGAAATCTCTGAAATACCCAAAGCTTATCCTCCCAACACCTTTGCTTCTTTTCGTCTTCAAGAGAAGAAATACAAGTCCTTCCGCCTTGGCAAATACGATAGTACCATTCCTTTCAGTGTTCCGGTTCTGCTCTATTGAATAAGTTCCGGTTTGACTATGACTACGTGAAAATGTGGAACCAGACCTTCACCCCACATTCCAGCTCCAGCTCTACCACACAGGAAGTGCAATATCACCTTAGTTATTCAACACATTATGCTCCTCGTGATACAACCAGAGTTCACATCAGCAATCTTGGCAGCTCTCACCACACTGCTGACTCACGACTCTCTCATGTCCCAATTTCCTGTCCATTGTTCTTTCCTCTACTTGGCCTGATTTCTAAAGGCCTCTCTTGGTTGCATTAAGCGGGATTCCTGAGGGATTCCCTTGGCAGTTACCTTGGGGGAGTCCTCAGGTTTGGGGCTGATCCATGTCCTCTAAATGTAGGACTTCAAAGCTCCCAAAGATAGGCAGACCCAGTGGGAAGCTGGGAAATGCTCTCTGACCCCTCTGGGAGAGCTGGCAGTCAGAGGGCTTTTCGGAAAGAGTCAGACCTGATCCATAAGTCCCTGGAAAACACCCTGCCCAGGGAGCAAATGCCACTGTGGTCTTGACTGAGGCTTCCGAAGAGTTTGGGAGCTGCAATTCATCCACACGCGCATTCATTTTCAAGTAGTGGTTTGCAGTTCGGGCTTTGGAGCTATATAAGCCTGGCTTCAAAGCCACTTTCCAACTTTGGGACTTCAGGAAGTCTCCAAATTTTTAAACCTCCAATTTTTTTTCCTGTAAAACTGGGGTCTTCATGGTACTTACTTCATTGTGTTGCTGAGAGAATGAAAAGAGAAAGCATAAATAAATGGCTTAGCCTCGTGCCTTGGCACATAGAAAGTACTCAGCATTTGTGATTATTTCTTCACATCTTTGTTCTCCTGGTGAAGTATTTATTCAGCAAGTGTTCACCAAGAGGCTGCCGGGGCAGCTGGGTGCTGCGGCGGAAAGAACACAGATGCTAATAAAAGCCTGAGCACAGGATCAGGCTCTGTGGGTAAAGATGCTCCAGGGGACCAGCTGAACACTTTACAGGAACTCATTCTGGCTCTGCACTTGGACGGCTGAGCTCCCACCCACTTCATCCCCCACCCTCAGCACACACAGCAGCTCCTGGGCCATTTCTGAGTTTGGAGCTTCTCAGATTACGCTCAATGTGACCTTGGGCAAATCCCATCTCTCATCTCAGCCTCTGGCATACTTCCTATAAAACAGTGATAATAATACCCACCAAGCCAAGTTTTTGTAGTAGATTAACCAACAGCAAATGTGAAGTGCCCAGCCAAGCCCAGCATGTGGCTGATGCTCCACAGCTTCTAGCTCCATTCCCCCCACCACACCTTCCATAACCGTGTGCCAAGCTTGGGCTAGATGCTGGTGGTCAAAAATTAAAAGAAGCTAGACCTGCCTGCAGGGAATTTAAACTTTAATGGGGGAAATAAACATTTGAACCTCTACCCCAGAGAAAGAGTGCTAAAGGCTGTGATGAAACTATGTCTGAAGGGTTATGGAACACCAGGAAGGGCAAATCGCTTTACCAGTTTGGCCCTCAGTTTCCTTGTGTGTCAAATGAATGAAATTGGTTACTACTCCATGTGAGATGACTTAAGTGAGTTAGGGAGTGTGCAACTACATGTTGGAAAGTTTAGCTCTGTGCTAGTGCTTTTATTTACTTATCTGTTTCCCCATTAGAACTTCATCCCCTTGAAGGGGATGTCTTCTAAGCCTATGTCTTATTCATTCCTCTGTCTCCAGCACACTGGCATAGAACCGGTGCCCAGTCAACATCTGTTGAGTAAACAGACACAAGGACTTATTATCTAATTTTATCCTCCCAGACCCCAGAGAGGTACAACATCCTATAGATGGAGGGAACACTGAATACAGAGTTCAGTGAGTGGCCTGGCAATCAGTGGCCGAGCCAGGCATCTTGGAACCTGTGGTGATGACCTTTCTGCTAGATTTCACAACACAGGCCACTCTGGCTCAGGTGGAGTGACACTGCTTTTCTGGATGTGACTCAGCTTTCCCTCGGGGTCACTGAACCCATCCATCAGCCTTCACACTGAGTCATGGGCTGAGATGAACTTCAGACCTAAGGAGGGAGCAGGGCTGCCCTGCCAGGTGGGTGTGCCTAGGGATCCCTCAGTCCAGCTGAGCACACCACCTGGGAAATCCTTCATGGGATGAAGATGGGGCGGGGACAAGGACGTCACACCAGATCCACACCTGTCTCCCACAAGAGTGTCTAAAGAGCAACACCTATCCCGTCACTGTGACTGGCGGGCTCTGACTCAGAGGCACCCCTTGTCCATCCCCAGTGTCATGTCCTCAGCATTGACCCCAATCATCTTTTGTTCTGCCTGGACTCCCAGCCTCCACTCTATCAACCTTCCTTTCAAAGAAGTTAAGTGATTTGCCATAACCACACACTGTGAATATCATGTGCTTATGTTCAGAAATTCGTGACTGGCTCCCTAGTACCTAGAAAATAAATTCTAAACCTCCACCTCAGCACTCAAGGTCCTCTTGCTGAAGCTTCAGCCTGCTTTTCCTGTTTTTTTCCTCTGTACACCCTTGAATCCTTCACTTTAGATCAGTCTGTGTGTTGCCATTCTACAGAGTTGCCCTTTACTTTCCCTTCTCCTTGTCCTTGCTAATATACTAACTCACTTTCATCTGGAATGCCCTTCCCATGTCTTATTCATTCTTCAGATCTGAGCTTAAAAACCACCTTTTTCATGAAGCCCTCCCAGATCTCCTCAGCCCAAACACTGGGATATTGCCAGTTACGTTTATTGATAATTTCTGTTGTGCAAATTGTTATGATCAGTACTTTATATGCTTCATTTTAGTTGATATTTCCAACAGTCTTACAGGTAAATAAATATTTATTACCCCCATTTTATAGATGTGGAAACTGAGACTCAGAGAGGAGAGCTAACTTGTCCACACTTACATACCTGTTGAGATTCAAACACCAGTGTGCCTGACTCCAAGTTGTTCCACGACTTTGGTTTGTACTTCCTATGTTCTTTGCACCTCTTTGGGGTACTCATGTTGTTGGGTGTTGTATTTTCCTAGGGGACTCATCCACTCACTTCTACTGTGATTTTCCTGAAGACAAGTGACTAGCTCTGTATGTAGTGTCTGACATAGACTGGGCTGTGAGGCAGAAAGCAAATGCGAGAGAGCAAGAGTTATGGAGCACCGCTGTATGCTAGTCCATGCTAGTTACCATAAACATGTGTACATAGCATTTAAGTGTTCTTAGTCTCATTTTACAGAAGAAGAAACAGAGGCACTGAGAGGCTAAATAACTTGACAAAATCTATAACAAAAAAAAAATGGGATGGACCTACATGGAATCATCTCAAAAACATACCATTAAGTGAAAAAAACAAAAAATGGAGTGCCTGTTTTCATTATGTGCTCTCATTAGAGAAAATAGAAACATATTAAAACATACATATGCTTGTTTATGCTGAGACTGCTCTAGGGACACACAAGAAACTGCTTTGGGGAGGTGACAAAGGAGGGCCTTAGAGGAATAGAGACTGGAGAGTTGAGGGAGACTTACTTTTTAAATCATCTAACAGTTTGAGTTTAAATAGGTATTTTTAGTTATTTGCATGCATTTCTTTCTCAGAAATAAAATTTGCTTATTTAAAATATGGATCCATGAAAATTTCTGAAGATCAAACATTCCAAAACAGAATTTGGCCTTGGGCTTTTTTGACTCCACGAATCTTTCTATTATAACCATCTCATTTCTGACATACAGGCATACCTCGAACATATCATGGGTTCGGTTGCAGACCACAGCCATAAAGCGAATATCACAATAAAGTAAGTCACATAAATTTTTTAGCTTCTCAGTGCATATAAACGTTATGTTTATACTATACTACAGTTTTTTAAGTGTGCAATAGCATTATGTCTTTAAAAACACTGTATATACCTTAATTAAAAACTACTTTATTGCTTAAAAAAATGGTAACCATCATCTGAGCCTTCAGTGTGTTGTAATCTTGCTGGTGGAGAATCTTGCCTTGATGTTGATGGCTACTGATTAATCATAGTGGTGGTGGCTGAAGATTGAGGTGGCTGCAGCAATTTCTTAAAATAAGGCAACAATAAAGTTTACTGCATCGACTGGTGTTTCTTTTCATTCCCATCTTTGATGACAGATTTCTCTGTAGCATGCGATGCTATTTGATAGCATTTTACCCACAATAGAACTCTTTTCAAAATTGGAGCTAATCCTCTCAGGTTCCTTCCACTGCTTTATCAACTAAGTTTAGGTAATATTCTAAATCCTTTGTTGTCATTTCAACAATGGTAACAGCATCTTTACCAGTAGTTTCCTTCTCAAGAAACTATTCTTTGCTCATCCATAAAAAGCAACTCCTCATTCATTCAAGTTTCATTATGAGATTGCAGCAATTCAGTCCCATCTTCAGGCTGCACTTCTAATTCTAGTTCTCTTGCTATTGCTATTTTTGCCACATTGCAGTGATTTCCTCCACTGAAGTCTTGAACCTCTCAAAGTCATCCATCAGGGTTAGATTCTACTTCTGCCAAACTCATATTAATGCTGATATTTTGACCTCCCATGAATCACAAGTGTTCTTAATGGCACCAAGAATGGTGAATCCTTTCCAGAGTGTTTTAAATGTACTTTGCCCAGATCCATCAGAGGAATCACTATCTATGACAGCTTTAGCCTTAAGAAATGTATTTCTTAAATAATAAGACTTGAAAGTTGAAATTACTTCTTGATCCACGGCCTACAGAATGGATGTTGTGGTAACAGGTATGAAAACGTTTATCTTCTTGTACATCTCCATTAGAGATCTTGGGTGACCAGGCTCATTGCCAATGAGCAGTAACATCTTGAAAGGAATCTTTTCCTGGGCAGTAGGTCTTAACGGTGGGTTTAAAATATTTAGTAAACCATGCTGTAAACAAATGCGCTGTCATCCAGCTTTGATGTTTCATTTGTAGAGCACAGGCAGAGTATATTTAGCCTAATTCCTAAGGGCCCTAGGGTTTTAGGATTGGTAAAAGAGCATTGGCTTCAACTTAAAGTCACTAGCTGCATTAGCCCTTAACAAAAGCCAATCTGTCCTTTGAAGTTTTGAAGCCAGGCATTGACTTCTCCTCTTTTGCTATGAAAGTCTTAGATGGCATCTTCTTCCAATAGAAGGCTGTTTCATTTACACTGAAAAATCTGTTGTTTAGTGTAGCCACCTTCATCAATGATCTTAGCTAGATCTTCTGGATAACCTGCTGCAGCTTCTACATCAGTACTTGCTACTTCATCTTCCACTTTTATGAGACTGAGACGTTTCCTTAAACCTCATGAACCAACGTCTGCTAGCTTCAAACTTTTACTCTGCAGCTTCCTAACTCTCAGTCTCCATAGAATGAAAGAGAGTTAGGGCCTTGCTCTGGATGAGGCTTTAACTTAAGAGAATCTTGTGGCTGGTTTGATCTTCTATCTAGACCACTAAAACTTTCTCCATCTCAGCAATAAGGCTGTTTAACTTTCTTATGATTTGTGTGTTGACTGGAATAGTGCTTTTAATTTTCCTCAGGAACTTTTCTTTCACATTCACAACTTGGCAAACTGTTTGGTGCAAGAGACCTAGATTTCAGCCTATCTCAGCTTTCAAGATGCCTTCCTCGTTAAGCTTTATTATTTCTAGCTTTTGATTTAAAATGAGAGATGTGACTCTTCCTTTCACTTGAACATTTAGAGGCCATTGTAGGGTTATTAATTGGCTTAATTTCAACACTGTTGTGTCTTAGGCAATAGGGAGACCCA